TCTTTCCAGTTACAACATGGTTTCCAGGGACTTGAGAGCATGCGTGGCCTGAGCGAGTGGCAAACGTCCTGGAGAAACGACACCCCGCCGAGGAGCCGTGGGTCGCACGTGGCAGGTCCGCGCCCACTGGGAGGGAGACGCGCCTGAGAGGTTGGGTGGAGGCTGAGCGTGAGCCGGAGTCTCCTCCAAACACACCGTCCTTGGCAGGCCAACCGCAGAACAGGTGACACCACACTCCGTACATCACAACATTGTTTATTATGTGAATTTTTACAATACAAACAAAATACAGAAATGCAATATATGAATACAGCTAAATGCAGAGTGGTGACTTCGTCTTCCCTTCGAGGCCATGATTCCCATTTCTAGTAAATAAACAGACGGCGTATAGGTAGAAACAGGTCGGTCGTTAGCTCCGCGATTTGCCTAGAAATGACCTACAAACGCGTTCCCCTGCTACTTACCACGAAGTGTAAAAAGGGAGTTAAAGGAAAGTCCTCGTGGGCTCCTACCATATGAAAGATGCTATATTCTATTTTAACAGGGCCAATATATGGAAAATATCTAAATTAAATGTTATTAAAAAATGAAGCAGTAAGGAGGCTCTGGCTAAGGGCACTAAATGAGAGTAATATATATTTAAAGAATCCAAAACAAACAACAGAAAAGGTTGTTATAAAAAGCTCTAGGTGCACTGTAAGCGTATAGGTTTTTCCATTTGTATTTTTAAACAATGGAAGTGTCAAAAAATAGGGTCAACTGTGTTAGGCTAAATCCCAGCACGCTCGGCTGCACCGAGTGGAACTCTGTACCAGTTACCGCAGAGCAGCAGAGTTCGCACCGTCTGACGGCAATGTATCCTCCGTGAGACCTTCTGGAGTCCTTTATTTTGGAATATCCTGTAAACAATCAAACCACCAGAACATGATTGTACAACAGTAAAGTGTTCTCTTGCATTAAATTGAAGACATCTGTTTAATAAAAAAAATAAAATAAAATAAAAAAAGGGAAAAATGTGGGAAAGGTACTTAGAGCTGTAACTTTCTAAGTACACAACACCCTAGACAATTCAAGGCATCTTAATCTCCATCAAGAACAACAAAAAATAATTTTTGTCATGCTGTTAAATCCATCATTATGGACAGAACTGGAGCAGGTTGGTCAAGCGGACCCAACGAACACTGGCGTCCAAGCTGGCGTGTTGGCAACGAGTGTGTAACTGGTGGTCAATGGCGAGTTTAAAAGATCTTCCCTTTCTTCTTGTTCTTCTCCAAGGTTCTAAAGGGATAAAGGAAGACAGTCCTGATGAGTCAGCCGCACGCACGGGGCAGGCGGTGCACGGGAGCCGCAGCAGCTGCGGCCGGTCTCCAGGCACTGCCCGTCCACGCGGAAGCAGACACTGAAGACAGCGCCCGTCCCTGATTTCCCTGCGACCAGACACTTGACAGTATTCTTGGATAAGAAGAAAAAACCATGGCCAAAGACCGTTTCACTGTGTGAGAACAAGTCTTGCCACCGCCACTCTGAAGTACACTGGCTTGAACAAAATATTTTCCTCTTCTTTGGGAAAACAAGCTGGAGAAGGTGAAGACAGTGTTTTGGGACAGACGCCCGGTCTTGAAGGTTTAGCGGTGAGGGTGAATGATGACAGCCTACAGACATGCAACTCTTCCACGTTAATGCGACAGATAAGGGGAGAAGAAAACCAAGGGGGGAATATTGTGCAATTTCACTTAAGTTAAGGGGATAACTTGTTAGCTGTATTAGAAACTAGCTATCTGACATTTTATCTTAAGGATTTTATCCTAAATAATTCAACACAATAAAACACGTCCTTGAATGCATAAAAGGCCTAGCCACAGTGTCCTCTACCAGCACTGAACACCCAATCCGCTATGAGCGTCCCTGCTCCTGGAGGGAGGGGGACAGAAGGCCACTGGGGGGGAACTGGGAGGTGTTGTGAGGTGCTGAGCAGCAACTATGGAGCCGGGGAACCCCTCCTGAGAAAACCCTCGCACAGTACACAGTCGGACCCATTCATCCATGAAGACACCTGGGCTTCAGGTGCGTGATGATGGGAGTAGATTTTTTTTTTAATTTTTTTTTTTTTTTTTTTGCTGTAGGGCGTGTGCACTTGCCAGAAAGACAGAGAGACAGAAAGAGAGAAATCACCCCCTAGGGGGGATGGCCACGCCACAATCCCCTCTCCTCCATTCTCCTCTCGGGATCTTGGGCATGCACGTACACGTGCCCGGTGTGAGTTTAAGCCACCCAGTCCGGGACTCGAACCATGGTCAACTACATGAGAGTTCAGTGACACAGCCATTACGCTAACTGCTGGTCCCATGATGGGAGGAGACTTAAAATGGTATCCTGATGTTTTCAAAATAACTAACGAAGCCTTTTTAAAAATACTGGTAACAATACTGACCTCGAAGAGTTCTGCTGTTCTAAAATACGCTGCTGAGCTTCCCAGCTGGCCTTCTCATCCTCGAACTGACGGCGTTTCTCCTCTAACTCTTTGTGCTGCGCTTCCAGGTTCTTCTTCATCTGCTCATGGCGCCGCTGGAGCTAAGGCGGGACGTGTGAAAGCAAGTTGCTAGGACCCAGGCTGACACCCAGTGCAGAGCGTACAGCGCACCGAGGCTCCCGCTCGGCTGGGGCAGCGCCTGCAGAGCCCCGTCCTGGACCGCCCCCAGGACCTGCCCCGGGAAGGCCAGAAAGCGCAGGGCACGCCAGTGGGCCGGGAAGGCCAGAAAGCGCAGGGCACGCCAGTGGGAGCGGGGTCACGCAGCACACGCTGCGGAGCCTGTATCACGCATGGCTGCCCATTGCCCCGTCTGCACACGACAGCGGTCTCCTCTTGGGATTTTTAGCATGCACGTACACATGTGTGGCATGAGTTTTAAGCTGTCAGGTCCAGGACTTGAACTGCTGTCGGCCATGTGGGAGTCCAA